TATCGTGGGATGTATGGTGATTCCCACCTCTACTGGTTAACATGTTGCCTTGAATTAAGTAATTCAAAATCTCTGAGTGCTCAGGTAGAGTAGAAAATGCTACACAAGAACTAGTCCATTTGCCATAATAAGCACTAATTTTATTTAAACTAATTTCATCAGATGTCTCACAAAAACAATTTTCTTGCTGTCAGATGGTGAAATGGTAAATGGACTGATTCTTAAATGGCACTTTTCTACTCTCCCAAAATACTCAAAGCACTGTAAACAACATGCCTCATTCACACCTACAAGCACTTCTCAAGTGCAATCTAACCAACATTCACACACATTCACACTCCAATAGACGCGTCGGAGAGCATCTTGGGGTTAGTATCTTCCCCGAGGATATTTTGCATGCAGACTGGGATTGACAAGGATCAAACCACAAGCCTTCCAATCAGTAGCTGATCTGCTCACCTGAGCCACAACCACCCAATGAAGTGAAGATGAAGTCAATAAAATTGGTCTTCTTCACAAGTGCTGAATTCAATCGATCTGTTCCTGACAGTTATCGCCTACTAAATGCAGGTTATTCACGAAAAATAGAAAGAACAAAACACCGACTAGAATTGTAATTGGGGTATAACAGGAGAGGAATGAATGAACACATTTACTGTAGGCTGCTGTATTCAGATGCAAACTGCTATGGAAAGTACAGTTACCTGGTATGACGTTATGGAGTATAATGAGTTGCAAGCCTGATGCTGTCATTTCCAGGTGCAAATATAATAAAGCCAACATGGTTCAGTTTACTCTTTTGGAGATGAAACTCTTTGTATGAACAGATTTAATTCATTTAGTGTAAATATCTGTTTACATTAAATATCGCAGTTAGTAGCACAGAGCTGTGTTTCTGTTAGCAGCACCTCTCACCTGCACTCTTGTCTGCAGTTATCATGCTTATGTGAACTGCATGATATGCATATTTACTATATGTCTGTGTGTGTGACAGCCAACTCTTTCTCTTTCTGATCCTCCCATCACTGCCACCTAACCCTGCCCTACCCCCTCCTCCAGAGGGGAGTCGTGCCGAAGACATTGCCCAGGCAGCAGAACAGCTTAACCAGCGCTGGGCAGGATTCTGCACCCTGCTAGGAGACAGACTGGCATGGCTGTCCTATCAAACAAAGGTACATACATCTGAATGCACATTACACCCAAGCCTTCAGTGTATGGGAAAAAATTCAATTTAACTTGGTATAGAACCATATGTTACATATTCTTCACAATACAGTAAGGAGAGGACGTATAAAAAATCCCAGGTGTGAGTAAACGCGACCCAGTCTGGTCCTTCTCTCTACTGCAGACTAAACAGATAATAATGTGGGTGTTTGGTTGTTTTGTCCTCTGCGTGTCCTGCAGGTACTGGCCTTCTACAGCTTGTATGAGCAGTGTGAGCAGGCAGTGGACAGCAGTGAGAACTGGCTCAAAGTTCAGCCCCCGCTGGCATCTGAACCAGAGCCACTCAAAGTGCAACTGGACCGATGTCGGGTGAGCGAGTCCTTACTTTGGTCATTATCTGCCACTTAAATCCAAAGCCACGTTGGTAAAGCTTTACTGCAGTGTGTCATCGTAGAGTTTGGTGTTTTTCACCTCATGTTTTTAAATGTTTTTTGTTAGAAATCTCAGAAGTTTCTATTTCTTTCCATTTGGACATATTCATTCATTTGGCTTTGTTTGACTTTCTGTATTTCATGCACCTGTTTTGCATAGCACTTTGCTGTGAGTACTTTTTTGTTCTTTTTATGGTTAATATATTTGCACTTATTAATTAAAAAAATCTGTTTAATAATTCAGTTGACTCAGAACACAAATCAAGTGTACTCGTACTTTTTATACATTATTACACGTTCTGAAAATGTCGTCTTTGACAGTAAATAAACCTCCGTCAGAATTAACAGAATTGTCACGTTTAAAAGGTTTTTTTGTATAAACTAATGCAGTAAGAGCTACAAAATGAACCGCCTGCCTTTACTCATGTATTTTGCCAGACAAACCCCTACTCCTAACCAGATGTGTCTATAAATGCCTGAGCTTCTTAAAAAGCGTGTGGCAGTTTTTTAACAACATCTACACAATAGAAGAAGCAAAACCAAACTGAATAAATAAAAGACAAAGAGGCACAACTGAAATTAAAGACAGGACAGAAACAGAGACAGGCGCCATCGGCATAAAGAGGGGAAGAGAGAAATGGGGCAGTAGGAACTTTCAAAATAAGAGCATGTCTGGACAAAATATGAAGGCAGAGAAATGACCGTACTGGGAGGAAGGGAGCTTCAATTTGATTCTTTTAAAATATGCCAAGCTTTTTATTCAGTCAGCAATGTTGATGAAACTGTTTCAGGTTTAAAAGTACATAAAATTGTTCACATTATTCATGTGATGCTTGTTCTCTTTGTTTCACAGTCATATTTCAATGTTGCTGAACTCATCCAACTTTCTGTTTGGCTTCCTGTTCATTAGTATTGGGGCGAGGGGGGGGGGGCTATATTTAAGTATTTATGTAAAATAAGACTAATTGAGTATAAGGTTAATAGGGTGGAAATGAAAACACTCAGCTTTTTACTCTGTATTTATTATTGGACATGTCATTCTGTGACACTCTTCCTCCCCCCACATAGGAAGAGGTGGCTCGGCTGTCCTCACTGCAGCCCCAGGTGACCCTCCTGGATAAGAGGCTCAAAGAGCTGAAGGAAGAGAAAGACGGGGACGAGGACCCTGCAACATTCCTGGATGTTGACCTCGATGCCTTCAAAGAACACTACCACAAGGTCCTGGAGGATCTGAGGGCGAGAGAGAAGCACCTACAACTAGGTGAGATATTATTAACCTGGTTTACACTTTGTGTCTGAGTAGGTGCTCTCAGGTCAGCGTGTTAGTTACGTCATGGTAATTACTACAATTCTAAACTCTAGAAGCTTTTTAACAAACGTTTATGTCACTTTTATCGTTAATGACACTATGCTAGCTTGTTATATATGAAGACTTGCTTTTTCCAGCTGACTCATCTGGAAGTGAATTCTTATTTAATTCCAGTAACTAGCAGAGACAAAGTAAATGATATATGGGTCGGATTTTATTTATTTATTTCGGATTTAATGCTTTTCTACTCAACTTGATCACTCAAAGTGCTCTGTACAACGTCTTATTCACTCATTCATACACGTATTCATACAAGCACTTTGTTCTACACCTGAGAGCTTTTTAGTTAACATTCACACACATCTGCAGCTCTCCCTCCTGCTCAGGAGGTAAGCAGACTGTTTACTTTAAATGCTACTACACAAGTATGTTTTTTTGAATTGACACTGTCAGCTTCATATAGATCCTCAAAAATAAAAGCTGCGTTCAAGTACCAGTGGAAAACTAAGACTGGGCTTCCTCTGTATTCCTGCGTTTTTTTGTTTTTGTTTTTTCAAATAAAACTAACATTTCTTTCTATAAATAAACAGAACAGTTTGTCTTCCCTGTACTAGAAAACGTAGGTTTACCAATTACAGACACTACAATACCAATTTTTTCAAACCGATACGATACCGATACTTGGATCTGAGTACTTGC